TAACCCCAAGACTCATCAACGATGTTTGAGTACACCCGCCCTCCAAGCTCAAGTCTCAGGCGAAACGCCCAGCCCGCCCTTCTGAACGGCCTCGGGGTGCGACAGGGAGGAGTTGTTCAAATGGAGGAGGATGATGGGGGAGGAGGAGGAGACGGAGGAGGAGAAGGAGGAGGAGGAGTAGGAGGGGGAGGAGGAGGAGGAAGGGACACGAGGAGGAGGAGAACGACCGAGGAGGACGCCTTGCGACCCGCCAGGTGCATAACTTGTCTCGTACACGTGTCCTCACTCTGCTACCTGCGTGCGGTGCGTACGTATGTGTTCTGTGGGTATGTGTCTCTGTGTGCGTGTGCGACTGTATGTTTGTTGTGTCTGATGCGCGCGCGGGTGTAGGTGAGAAGGAGAGGGAAAGAGGGAGGTGAGGGAAGGGGACGCGGGTGCGACGCGGGCGGGGAAAACACCATAACCACACTGAGCATGTGGGGACGAGAGCAAACCAGTGCAAAATAACACACAGCAATGCAGCGCAATAGCAATACACATCAATGCCAAACAATATACGGCAACGCCAATCATTGCAAAGCCTTGCGATGCAATGCAAAACAATGTAAAGCAATGCATTGCATTGCAAAGCAATGCATTGTTAATACAAAACCATTACAAGCAGTGCCAATCGACGCAACGCAGCTCAAAATAATGCCAATCAACGCAGAACAACGCAAATCAATGTAAAACAATCCAAAGGAGTGAAAAGGCATGTCAAGCAATGCAGGCAATGCAACGCAATGCCAACCAGTGTCAATCGATGCAGCGCAATGCAGAACCAATGAGTCGCCATTCAAAGTAATGCAACGCAGGGCAAGTCACAGCAGACCACATAGCCGCCTTACCGATGGGCAGTCCCAGAAGACCAGTGGCGATCAGGCGACGACGGGGCGGCGACGGCGACCACAGCCGCCAGACCGACGGGCAGGCCTAGAAGACTGGCGGCGACGAGGCGACGGCGGCGCGGCGACGGCGACACCGTAGCCGCCATACCGACGGGCAGGCCCAGTTTTTTGTGCCAAGAGCCTCTAAGTGCCAAGACCGCTCCGCTTGGGGGAGATGAGTACTCCTCCCCTCCCTTCCCCAGTTCTTGAGGCAAGTTCCTGAGAAAAGTTCTCGAGAACCCCCTCAGTGCAAAGAGCGTGTGGGGGAGATGAGCACTGCTCTCCTCCCTTCCCCGAAGACGACGTCCCCAGAGAGAGTGGCGCGCCTCCGCTGCAGCGGGGACCACCTCGATTCTCGGAGCGGCGCTTTGTGCTCCCCCAGCGTTCGGAGCGGCACCCCCTCGCCCCGGTGCGGGCCGCTCTTCTGGATCAGCAGCATCATCATCATCATCATCATCATCATCATCAGCATCATCAGCATCATCAGCATCAGCATCAGCATCAGCATCATCATCACCATCACCATCACCACCATCATCATCAGCATCATCATTATCACCATCATCACCATCATCATCAGCATCATCATGATCATCATCATGATCATCATGATCATCATGATCATCATCATCATCATCATCATCATCATCATCATCATCATCATCATCATCATCATCATCATCATCATCATCATCATTCTGGATCCGAGCCTTTCTCATCGTTGTCGTCCCCTCCCTTCCCCTCCTCCGCCTTCCCCTGGTTCTCCTGCTCCTCCCGCTCCCTGCGCTCCAGCTCCACCTCCGGCTGCTGCTGCTGCTGCTGCTGCTGTTCGTCCTCGCCCTCCTCCTGCCTCCTCCTCCTCCTCCTCCTTGGCCTTCTGCTCGTCCTCTTGCTCATCGGCCACCTCCTCCTCCAATGTACGCGGCTCCCTTTTCCCGCTTGCGCAATCCACGACGGGGCCCGTTTTGGAGTTCGGGGTCCGCTGTGTGACACGCGTCGGCGGGCGGACAGGGAACGGCGCAATGGGAAGGGATGGGGGGGGGTGATCAGGATGTCAGATATGGCGCAAGCATGCCTACCCAGAGATCCGATGTCTTGTTTTTTTCAATGCGGGGTCATCGGGAATCTCGACCCACTCCTGGGGAAAAGCTGGTCGGGCTTCTCCTCCGGAGCCCGTTCTCTGGACGGTCCCAGGGCCCGGCGAGGGCCTCTGTCGAGGCCGAGAAGCGGCGAGACATCGCCATCTTGATCTCTGTTGGAGCACGCTGGATCTCTGGGTCGCTTGGCCTCCTCCTCCTCCTCCTCCTCCTCCTCCTCCTCTCTCGTTTTTCCCCCGAGGGAGCGGGGTCCACCCACCCCGCTCTGGGGCTGGCCCCGCGGCCTCTGTCTTGGCCGGGGGGCTGCTGGAAGTGCCCCGTGCCCCAAGGTGCCCCCAGGAGTTCCAGGGAGGCCTCCACGGCCCGCAGGGCATCTCTCACGAGGCCCAGGGGGCCCCCGGGGCTCCAAAATGGAGCGAAAAACTGGGGGCACCCTGGGCCAGGGGCACCGTCAGCAATCCCCGACTTGGCCGCCCCGTCTCCTCCTCCTCCTCCTCCTCCTCCTCCTCCTCCTCCTCCTCCTCCTCCTCCTCCCCCTTCAATTCCTCCGTAGCCATTTTGGCTCAAGCCGCTCACCAGCGAGCGAACCTCCTTTTGGCTCCAATTGGCTTGTCTCGGTACAGAGTCGCTTGGACATACTGCTTGCTGGTTGAGTTCTGGTTGCGCGCTGCCCCCTGCGGTGTGTGTTCGTCTGCCCGCCGTCGAGTGTTGCTCATGGTCCACTGCTCGTCTTCCGAGAGGCTGGCAGCGCGCCGCCTTCGAGCGGTGAAGTATGGTCATGGTCGGCCTCGTCCTGCACCTGGGCGCTCTTGGATGTGCGTTGCCTCCAGCATCCAGAGCGGTGCGGCTACAGTGGTGCGCTCCACGGAGGCCCACGCCGAGCGCGACCGGCCTGCCGACGGCCCTCCGCGCCACGCCGCGCGGGCGGCCACGTGGGCGCTCCGCTTGCAGCTGAGCGAGGACGCCCATGCCAAGTCCCAGAGGTTGCACAGTGATGCCAGCGCGAAATATCGATAAACACTGTGGAATTCATGATTGCAGAAATCAAAGCCGGCAAAGTCAACGATGTGCGATACTGCACAGTTTGGCCACACTTTCGCGTTGGCGCCATTGACGGCCAAGGACGCCGGGCTGCCTGCCTCGGACCCGCTCTTTGTCTCCGACCCGTGGGCGGCTGCGCGGCCAGCCCCAGCCTCGAGAGTTGGGCGCCCCCTCTTTGCGCGGCAGGCTCGGTCATCGGCCGCTCACGGCATCGCCGCTGCACTCTGGACGAGCGATCTGCGGCCGGTGCTGTCCTGCGGAAGGAGGCCGCGGAGTTCACCCCCCATGTCGCGGGACTCGGCGCCCCTCGCTTGCTCCGTGGTCTCGTCGCTGGGGTCCCAGTAGGACGACGCCCTGTCTCTCATCATGAGTGCGACGATCGCCCAGCTGCGTGGCGAATCGAAGGCTCGTGCGCTCTCTGCCTCTCTGGTTCCCGCCGCCTCGAGCGGCGACAGCGGTGGGCGTGCTGCTGCTGCGGGCCCGCTCGCCTACTGCGACCAGGCGGTCAAGGAGATGAAGCAGTGGGTGCTTCCAGTGGTGCGGGAGTTTATGGACGAGTCCATGAAGGCGGTGAACAAGGTCACGCGAGAGACACTGGCGGCTTCCTCGGTGTCCGCCCTCGCGAAGCTTGACGGGATCAGATCGCTGATTGCGTCTCCGTTGGCTTCTGTCTCGCCGCTGCCTGCGAGTGGGTTGGCTTCGCCGCGTGGTGCTGCCTCCCCTGCTCCTGGCAGCGTCGACTCGTTCTAGGCCTCGGTTCGGAACATGCCTCGTCCACACCTCATCCCGATCTCCGTGCACAGGCTCTACGCGAACTGCTGGGCGGATCCTCTGGCCGCGAGGCCCGTCTTCGGCACCCAGTTTCTTCTCATGGTCCGTCTGATGAAGAGTGTGAGGAGTGCGGCGGTGTGAAAAGTAGGCGGCGGAGCCGGCTTACCTGCCAGTGCATGCTGAGCGAGCTCGAGGAATCTTGGGTCTCGTAATGTACCGGTCGTTCCCTTCGTGGGCTTTCTGGCGGCTTACTGGTGGGACGTGCTCACGGTCTTCGAGATGGGCCTCTTGGTGTCGCCCTTCCTGGTGCGGCCCTGGGTCTTCCTTGTCCTCCTCTACATGCGCCCCATCCCCGTATCTTCGCTATCCCTGGGGCTTCCGCCTTCCTTGTTTCGGATCCATCTCCCCTTGTGGGTGGCGGATCAGTGTAGATTATTCAAACTTGGATTCTTCATGCGCTCGCCTCCCCCTCCTCTTCCTGCCCCTCCTCCTCGGCCTCCTCCTGCCCCTCCTCCTCCTCCTCCTCCTCCGCCTCCTCCTGCCCCTCCTCCTCCTCCTCCTCCTCTTTCTCCTCCTCCTCCTCCTCCTCCCCCTTCTCCTCCTCCTCCTCCTCCGTCTCCTCCTCCTCCTCCTCCTCCTGGCCGCCCCGGAGAGGAGGCGCAGGGCGCCGCCGCGGTCGCCGACCCGCGGCTCCGGCAGGAGCGGCTGGAGTCCGCGCTCGGCCGGCTGCAGGAGGCCCGCAGGATCACCCGTGGGCATCGGAGGGCCACCGGCTCGTCGTCGTCGTCGTCGTCGTCGTCGTCGTCGTCGTCGTCGTCGGCGTCGGCGTCGGCGTCGGCGTCGGCGTCGGCGTCGGCGTCGGCGTCGGCGTCGGCGTCGTCGTCGTCGTCGTCGTCGTCGTCGTCGTCGTCGTCGTCGTTGTCGTCGTCGTCGTCGTCGTCGTCGTCGTCGTCGTCGTCGTCGTTGGCGTCGTCGTGGGGGGAAGAGGAAGAGGAGGAGGGGAGGGGGGAGGAGGGGGAGGAGGCGGAGGGGAGGGAGGAGGAGGGGGAGGAGGCGAGGACGGAGGAGGAGGGCGGTGGAGGCGAAGAAGGGGGGCATCTGGAGCTCGACGTTCGGGGGGGAACGGTGGCACCCTTTGTGGGACTGCGTCTGCCGCGGCCCCGTGCCGCGGGCACCTGGTGGTCTATGCTGCGCGGCGGTGGAGAGGATGAGGGAGGGGAGGAGAGGAGAGGAGAGGATAGAAGAGGCAATCACGCGACATGCGCGCAGGTGTGATAACGAATATGATGATGATGATGCTGCTGATCATGATGATGACGATGATGCTAATGATGATCATGATGACGATTATGATGATGCTGATAATGATGCAGATGTTGATGCTGATGCTGCTGCTCATGATGATGACGATTATGATGATGATGGCGATGAGGATGCTGATGCTGCTGATGCTGCTGATGATGATGATGGCGCTGATGCTGATGCTGATGCTGCTGCTGATTCTTGTGCTGATGGTGATGCTGCTGCTTATGATGATGATCATGATGCTGCTGCTGCTGATGATGATGATGATGACTACGATGATGATGATTCTGATGATGACGACGATGATGATGATGATGACGATGATGATGATTATGACGACCATGATGATGATGATGATGATGATGATGATGATGATGACAATTCGGATCTTGATAATGATGTGTGCGACGCTGATGATGAATATGATGATGACGATGATGATGATGATGATGATGATGATGATGATGTTGACGAGTATGCTAATGCTGATGCTTGTGCTGATGACTCTTGTGCTGATGATGAGGATGATGAAGATGTTGATGATGCTGATGATGATGACGTTGATGATGCTGCTGTTGCTGATGATGATGATGATGCTGATGAATGTGCTGATGATGCTGATGCTGATGCTGATGCTGATGCTGATGCTGATGCTGATGCTGATGCTGCTGCTGCTGCTGCTGCTGATGATGATGATGATGATGATGATGATGATGATGATGATGATGATGATGATGATGATGATGATGATGATGATGATGATGATGAGGTGAGCGTTTTTGCTGCTAGGGCGACTCCCGCCCTGTGGCGTGCAGAATAGGCCTGAGGGACTTTGCTACCCCTGCTGCAGCCTCGGATGCTCAGAGCGTTGGGGCTAAATGCCGTCGGAACTCCTCTTCTGATGCCTGCTCTCGCGCGGGAACTAGGAATTCTAGGTGTCAAACGGTTGTCCTACCCCAACTAACCTCCATTGATGGGACACACGTCTTCGCACTCATGGTCATTATCTGGATTCAATGCCTTGAGCTTCTGGACCAGGTGGGGTTCACCCAGCCGCCAACTTTGGTGCAGCTCGAGGCCTGTCGCGCCAGACCATCACGTGTTGAGACCGCACAGCACGCGAGGTAAGCCTGCAAGCTGTCACTGCCAGAAGAGCAGAACTACAAGATAGATCCCGTCCTCCAGCTTGATAGGATGAGCCTTGATTGCGGGATGACGCGCCTGTGCGACGGCTTGCAAGATGGGAGGGTTGGCGCCTGATGCCCTCAGGCGCCCTACGAACCGCGAGACGTGCTGTTGAGCGAGAGAGGGGGAGCTGCTCAGTCTAAAACGCCTCCTCGCCATGGCTACCGGCCACGCTCTGTGCACGGAAGGGGCGTGGAGACTGTCCTCGCCTAAGGGGGTCTGTGACTGGTCGTTTTCTCATGCACCCTGTAGCTGAATTTGCACGCCTCGGGCTGTCTGGAAAGAAGCACGTCTAAAAAAGCCTCCTCCGACGGATCCACATTTTCGAGCTCTCAGGTGAAGGGTGACGATTCTCTGCTCAGCGTCGCAAGAAGCAGGTCTGGATAATTGTTGGGGCAGTCCAGGACAAAGATGATGTCGTCCTTAAAACGGGAATGCGCCACCAGACCTACTGACTGTACGAACGATCGGTTTGAAAGAAGACTGTTCTCGGCTAGGAAGTAGAACGCTGCATCTGAGACCTCACCACTGCAAATCATGCTCATCCCGCTGCCGCTCACGACCTGCCAAATGGGGTCGAAGCCCAGGACCTCCACAAACTGGTTCTCCAGGATATTCGTCAATGCAGCAACGTACATCCTTTTTGGTGCAATCGTTGTGTTGTGTTGTGGTGTAAGCTCTGTTGTACAATCTACATTGTGCAATCTATGTGGTGTAAGCGATGTGAGGCAGTCCACCTTGCAGAGCTTCCAGTTGTCAACTCCACTGCTCGCGCAATCATCCCGCCCTCTCAGCTGCAAATTGGTTCACAAAACCCGTGCGGCGGTGATTGCGATGACCGCTTGGCCGTGGCTGGCACATCTCTGCGGCCGCGCTGGCGCACGCAAGCTCGCGCGCAGATCGGTCAGCTGGTTTGGCGCAATCGATGCGGCTGCGATGGCGCTTACCGATGGGAACTCGCCAGCGTGCGTTAAAGGCCGCGCTGGCGCGCGAGCACTTCAATGCGGGTCGGTGGCTCGGGCTGGCGCGGTTTCGTAATGACGTCGGCAACAGCGGCAACGATGATGATAGTAGCGATGGTGCTGACGATGGTGACGATGACGACGGCAAGGCCCATGACGGCGCCCATGACGGCGACGATGATGCTGTCCACGTGTCGCTGATGGAGGTTTTGGAAGGATTTCGGCATACGCGCGCGGCCGACGCGCGCGCGCGTGGCCCGCACTGTATTACTTGACAAGGCTCGCGCCCCCCACCAGCAGGCGCGCAAGGGCGTTCGAATGATTTCGATATGTGCGCGCGAGAGGCCCGTGTGGTTTGCTGGGATGAACTTGGTGGGAAATGCCGATTGCTTCTGGGAAATTTCGTAAGGGCGCGCGCGCAGTTTGTTTCCCGACCTTGCGGTGGGGTTCCCGTTGTGCATCCCCCCTGGGGGGGTCCGGGGGAAGGACCCCCCCGGGACACGGCCCCGGCTACGGGCGGAACGCCCGCGGCAGCCAGCAGAAGACGGCCGCTGTCGGCCCCATTTCGGCAGACGCGTTTCCGGGCGGCACCGACGGCCCCAAGATGGTCCGCAAGATGCTCCTAAGGGGGCCACGAGTCGCCCAAAGATCAGTCCAAGACACCCAAGATGGCTTCAGGATGTTCCAAGAAGCCTTCGGGAGGCCTCCAGGAGGGCCTCCAAGAGGGCCTGGAGAGGCAAAAACTATCCATTTCCGGTTTTCAAAACATGTTTTCCGCCTTTCCGCTCGTCCGGCTTCCTGAAGCTCCGAGACGGCCCTGAGAGGCCCCAAAGGTCGCCCCAAGACGGCCGAAGAGGCCTGCGCCCTCACGGCACAAGAGACCCCCAAGACGGCCCAAGAGGCCTCCAAGACGGCTCAAGAAGGCTCCAGCATCGCCCCAAGAGTGGCCCCAGAGAGGGAGCACGGACCAACATGTCCAGCTTTTCTTCCAAATAGACCCCCAGGAGGCCCCAAGAGGCCCCCAAGAGGCTCCAAGAAGCTTCCAAGAGGTTTCCAGGAAACCCCAAGAGGCCCATAAGAGACCCCAAGACTGCCTAAGATGGCCCCGAGATGGTCGGAGACGCCCCAGGGCCCGAAGACTGCCCAACATGGCTCCAAGATGGTCAGAGACGCCCCGACAACGTTGCACAGCGTCAAACGGACAACACGGGAACCAGCAAAATGTGCCTTAAAGCGGCACAGCGTCAAACGGGCAGCACGTGAATCAGCATTATGCGCCCTACAGGTATCTTCTTCTTTGTTTTCCTCTTCCTCGCAAGTCACGCCCATTTGTCCTCGAAGGTTGGGGTTCGTGGCAATATCAGGTTCGAAACAAATTCATGAAGGACCATTGCGTTTTTGCTCAGATGTTTTCGAACATCTCGATCTTGAAATCTCTACGAAAATGCAATTATTGCAGTATTTCGAAATGCGCGCGCGACGACGCACGCGTGAGAATTTGGCCTGGAGTTCGCATGGGACTATCCAGTTTTTCTGGAGAAGCCACTTTTCGCGCATAGTATTATTTGACAGTGGTGAGGGGGGGGTCAATAACGGGACCCGTGGGATGGTATGAAGCCGTATGAAAAGTGAACGATGATGCTGAGTCATATGAAGTTGGTATTATCCCAATGGGAAGGGATAATCTCTGGGTGTGCGTGTAGAGCCTGTGATCTTTGAAAAAGGAGAATGTATGTGGTGCGCAACATGTGAAGCAACATATGCGGTGTAAGCTATGCTTGTGGTGCGGGGTATGTGGTGTCAAGTATGCATTGCTACCCAGTGTAGCTTATTCAGTGCAACATGCGTGGTGCAATCTATGTGGTGCAACCCATGAGTTGCAATCTATTGCAATCGATTGCAAGCGGCGACGGCGACAACGGGCGCGGCGACCGATACCCAGGCGTAATGGAGCGGCGGCGGACGGCGGCGACGGGCGGCGACGGCGACAAACAAACGCGGCGACCGACACCCGGGCCCAGAAGCGGCGGCGACGGACGGCGGCGACGGGCGGCGACGTTGACAACAAGACGGTCAGACCGAGGAGGAGGAGGAGGAGGAGGAGGAGGAGGAGGAGATGGAGGAGGAGGAGGAGGAGGAGGAGGAGGAAGAGGAGGAGGAGGAGGAGGAGGAGGAGGAGGAGGAGGAGGAGGAGGAGGAGATGGAGGGAGGAGGGAGGAGGAGGAGGAGGAGGAGGAGGAGACTCCCAGGCCCAGTTCCTTCCAGACCAAGAAAGAAAGCCTGAATGCAACCACTGTTTGGGGAACAGGGAGTTCCAGAAGCGGCCTCGCCGTCTGCGCGGCTTCAACCTCGGCGGAAGCCCGCGGGAGGCTGGCGGGTGCCCGGGGAGGTAGAACGGCGTCGGTTCCGCTGGCGAAGGGCTGGCGGGAGGTGGCGAAGGCAAGAGTGAGACGTCAGTATTTTTTGAGTGGGCGGCGAAATGGCACAATGGGCCATGGGGATGCCGCTCACGGCGTTCGGGTTTCTTTTCTCTGTCCCCAGTTCTCTTCCCTCTGTCTCTCACTACTGTCTCGCACATCCTCGGCGGTACGCTGCGGGAGGCAGCCGTCAGGGCAGTTGGCTTGATTCGCGTTGCCGTTGGTGGAGAAACAGATCTTCCTCGCCCTCTTTCTGCTTCTGCTGCTCAACCTCCTCGGACCCCTCATGCCCATTCCCCCTCCTTCTCTGGCTCCTTCTCCAGGTCCTGCTGTCGTTGCTGCTTCACCTCCCCACCCTCCCATCCCCTCTTCCCTCCCCCTCCTCCCTCCCTCCCCCCCCTGCCTACGTGCCTCTCCTGCTTCCCTCCTCCGCTGTGGTGGCCGCGGCCTGTTTTCGGCTGCCTGAGGATCCGCTGCGAGACAGGCACGGAAAACACACCGGACGGCGCCCGGTTGGAGAGCAACATCGGCAACGTGAAGCTCAAGCTGAACGACGCGGCGGGTGCATCTGGGAGGGGGAGAGGAGGGGGAAGGAGCAAAAGCAGCGTGGACCAAAATGAGGATGGGGAGCACGAGGAAATGGGTAAGGGAGAAGGGGGCACCGATCCACCCTCTTCCCCTATCTCTCTCTCATGTCCTTACCTTCCTCGTCTCCGTTGTCATCTTCTTCGTCGTCGTCGTCCTCCTCATCCTCATCCTCCCTCTTCCCTTCCTTCTCTTCCTCCTCCTCTTGTTGCTGCTGCCGCTCCTCTTCCCCGCATCCTCACACCCCTCCCCCCTCCCCCGTTCCCTCCCCTCGTCGTCGTTCGTCGCCGGTCGTCGTCGTTCGTCGTTGTCGACTTCGTCGTCGTCGTCTTTGTAAAAGCAGTCCTAGTAGTAGTCGTCGTTGTGGTCGTAGTAGTCGTGGTTGTCGCAGTTGTCGCAGTCGCAGTCGTAGTAGTAGTAGTAGTAGTAGTAGTAGTAGTAGTAGTAGTAGTAGTAGTAGTAGTCGTAGTAATAGTAGTAGTAGTAGTAGTAGTAGTAGTCGTAGTAGTAGTAGTAGTAGTAGTAGTAGTAGTAGTAGTAGTAGTAGTAGTAGTAGTAGTAGTAGTAGTAGTAGTAGTAGTAGTAGTAGTAGTAGTAGTAGTAGAAGTAGAAGTAGTAGTAGTAGTAGTAGTAGTAGTAATAATAGTAGTCGTAATCGTAGTCGTGTAGTAGTAGTAGTAATAATAATAGTAGGTGTAGTAGGAGTAGTAGTAGTAATAGTAGTAGTGGTGGTAGTACTAGTAGTAGTCGTCGTAGTAGTAGTCGTTGTAGTCGTAGTAGTAGTAGTAGTAGTAGTCGTCGTAGTAGTGGTAGTAGTAGTAGCAGTAGTAGTAGTAGTAGTAGTAGTAGTAGTAGCACTAGTAGTCGTAGTAGTAGTAGCAGTAGTAGTAGTAGTAGTAGTAGTAGTCGTAGTAGTAGTAGTAGTAGTAGTAGTAGTAGTAGCAGCAGCAGTAGTAGTAGTAGTACTAGTAGAAGTAGTAGTATAAGTAGTAACAGTAGCAGTAGAAGTAGTAGTAGTAGTAGTAGTAGTAGTAGTAGTAGTAGTAGTAGTAGTAGTAGTAATATAGTAGTAGTGGGAGTGGTAGTAGTAGTAGTAGTAGTAGTAGTAATCGTAGTAGTAGTAGTAGTAGTAGTAGTAGTAGTAGTAGTAGTAGTAGTGGTAGTAGTAGTAGTAGTAGTAGCAGTAGTCGTAGTCGTAGTCGTAGTCGTAGTCGTAATGGTCCTCCTCCTCCTGCTCCAGGGCGTTTATCTGGTGCTCCCCCAGGCGCAGAACAGGCCTTCAGCGAGGCGCTGAGGATCAGGGAGGAGACGGCGACGCTCCACACCAGCGAGGGAGCCCTGCTGGAGGTGGGCCGTCCTGGGGGGGGGGCTCGTCGGCGAGGGAGCGGCAGGCTCTGGCACCCGAGCCCGTGCGGTGCCACACGCTGCAGTGGAGATGGCGGACAAGCCTGGAGTGGACGGTTGACGGGGACGGCAAGGAGGACGAGAAAGAGGAGGAGAAGGAGAGGGGGAGAAGGACAATCTAGGTGCGCTCGCGCCGGTTCCTCCCTGCCATCCCTTGCGCGCGTGTCACAGCCGACCCAGGACCCACACAGAAAGACCACTTCGTGAAACGCGCAATCCGAAAGAAGGGGAGCTGCGTGCACATGAGGAAAAGGTGGCGGGTGAGCAGGGCGATGAGCGGAAGGAAAATGATGAGGACGAACAGCAGAAGCAGGAACTAAAGTGGATGGATCGGAAGGAGAAGGAGGACCAGTGGAAGGCGGAGAAGAGAAACTAAGGGGGGATCTGATTTTTACCCATGATGCGACACATCCCACGCTCTTGCAAACATCCCACCCACCCACCCGTAACTTGGTCTGCAAAACCTCTTAAGACCGACTACGACGACACCAACGACATCGACTACGACGACACCGACGACGTCTCCGACGACATCGACGACGACAACGACGCCGACGCCGACGACGACGAAGACGACGACGACGCCGACGAAGACGACGACGAGGAAGGAGGAAGGACGACGACGGCGATAACGACGACAACGACGACAACGACGAGGGAGGAGGGAGGACGGCGACGACGCGAACGACGAAGAAGGAGGAAGGACGGCGACGCCGACGACGACAACGACGAGGAAGGAGGGAAGACGACGACGACGTTGACGACGACGACGACGACGGCGACGAAATAGGAGGGACGACGACGAGA